TATGTTTCAACATCATAAATGTGTCTCCTCGGGTGATGTTAGACTACTCGCGAGTAAAAGATTAATATATATAGATAGATAGATAGATAGATAGATAGATATTATCCCAGGTCGATAACACGACGTTGAGTTTCATGCGGATACGCAATCTTCAGATGCTGAACGCTTAATGACCGTTAGTAATTATAAAATGCTAGTTCTCGTGGTGTTGATTTAATTGTGTGTTAAGACGTGTTCATTTTATGTTAGCAATAATATTTAAATTAATTATTTATGATTTATATCAATCAAAGTCTTAAGTTCGAAAGACGAAAATTTTTAAAAAAATTATTTTAATAATTAAAAAATTTGAATTTATGTAAACACACTACAGTATATATTTGCGCATTATTCCACTTTTGAAGATCTAATTTTGAAGCTAATTTTAAGGGGGTTGCATCATACACGTGGTATAAAATTAGCGTATAGACTGCTGCCCCTGGCTACACCGTTAACAATATATATTCCTGGGTATAACGATAAACTACATCCGGCAGCAATGCCTCTGATCAGGAGCTTTTGTGAAGTGTGAAACCACCTTTTAATTGCTATTGTTCCAAGGTCCACTCTGACCCTGGTGGTAGCAACTATTAGGGTCCCAGCTATGGGCAAATAGTTAACCCCCAAACTGGATTCAGATCACTATGAAAGTGTAAAAATAGATTTTTATATTAAAAATACCAGTCATACATTTGACTCTCGACAAAACCATCTTTACAAAAATACGTCAATGAAACCTGATCTACAAAATAATTTCTCACAAAGAATACATGTTTTATTTATACGAAATTTTGTCAGTATTAAATAACCCATTGAGGTGTTGATATACCGTAAAACAAAATGAACCAAAGCAAACCAAACTATATATCCATTTACTGTAGTCAAATTAGCTTCAAAATTAGGCCTTCAAAAGTCGCATGATACACGAAGTATATACGGCATTTCGTGAGCATCTCGAGGTGGTGTAATGGTTAACAAGCTTGTCTCACTAGAACAATTACGACTGAGTAGTGAGTTTGATCCTCACTGGGTCCTCCGAATTTTCAGCCTTGTGCCATAACTAAGTTACGCTTAGAAAATTCCTATACGGTATCTCTTTTTAGTGGCAAATGTCTTTTTTTCACTTGAATCCAATAACAGAAGTCCAAATTATTGTCTGACTTCTTTGGACTTTATCCCTCAAACCTAAAATTCACTGGGCAGGAGTTTGTAATCGTCAACGAAATAAAAGAGTTTCTTTTATTTCTTACATCTTTGCTAAATCCCTGAGGTTAACATTGACCGACCTATTTTTGGCATTGTTATAGGAGTTCTTTATTTATTGTGTCCCCTCATGGCTCTCCACGATTTCCGGTCCTTCGTCGCTCTTATAAATTTTGTCATTTTTTTTATTTCTTCTAAACCATGTTCCGCCATCTATTTACACAAGTTCATCATTTTGTCATGCGCAGTTTTTCTCTGTCTCTCTTGCCCTCAATCTGTCCTGTGAGTATCAAATTTTCTAAGCCCTCCTTCTTTATTGCACCAGAAATTTCAACTGTCTCGTCTTGATATTAAGCAGAAGTTTCCTTTTCTTATCCATTTTCTCTAAAACCTCGTCGTTGCTCACATGTTTGGCCCATGGTATTCTCAGCACCCTTCTGTAGAATCATATTTCTGTTATTTCAAGTCTCTCCTTCAACTTTGAGGAGATTTTCCAGCATTCACGGCCATATACTGATATAACGTAAAAGTTCAGTACTCTATTGTTTGTTTCTAACGATGTTTTTCTGTCTCTTAATACTTTGCTTAGCTTTTGGAAGGCGTCTTTGGGCATCCCAATACGTCTTCGGATCTCGATGTTGCACTTTCCATCCTCTGTTAGAACACTTCGCAGATAGGTAAATATTTGTTCTTGATTTTGCTATCTCCGATTTTAATTTTCGTTTTGAGACCATCCTTTTGCTAATAACCATGCGTTCTATCTCCTGGCAGTTCTTTCATTACCTTTGAGTAATGAATAGCGGCTCGGTTTGACGAATCGGGGAGCCGAGTTCGAATTCCACTCGAATCCATTAAATTCACTTACGTGCTAATACCCTGAGGAAAGGTATGAATCTTCTTTTTTCTTCCCCCCCAACGTCAATTATTGGTAAATAGCAGGACAGACAGGGTTCCATAGCCTTCGATGGCAAATGGTCTACCGTAGAAAGGAATGGCAACCTACTGCGGGAAAAAATCTGCCTCGTCAGTCATGTATTGAAAGGTACATGATCGCCTAAGCGTTTATCACGCTTGACACATAACTGACTGACTGACCTTCTGAAGAAGCTATTGTGGGTATTTTTTTTTTTTTTTGTGTGTGTGTGTGTGTGTGTGTGTGTGTGTGTGTGTGTGTGCGTGCGTGCGCGCGTGTGCTATCAACACTGTGTCATCTGCATATCTTATGTTGTTAAGATTGTGACTACCAATAATGAATC